GTTTTGCAACAGCTTTTGGATCCCGTCCGCTACAACAGGATTTTGCATTCCCCTGATATTTGTCCTATTGCTGAAACTCCCCCAAAACCCATATTTTTTGATGTTTCTAGTTTTTTATTGTCATCTGGAGCTCGAGGAACAGTCATTACCACCTTTACCTTCACAGTTCATCTGTGAAAAATCTAGTGCACTTTTTGTCATGTGGGGTTTCTTTCGCCAATCTAGCTGTCGTACGAATAAGCTATTGTTTTGATACTGTAGGTGAAGGATGTCCCTCCAGGCTTTCTCAAAAGAGGTCCAAGCTTTATATTGCTTCAAAAGTACATAATACGTTCCCTGATCTCACGTACCGTGTAAAACCAGCAATCTCCTCTCCCGGCGTAAACTACAGACAGATGCCGACAATCATTCCATCCAAGTTGGCATTCGATCAGCCGACTCAGACCTTCCATCATGTGCCCAGTTAGATTAAGTGTCCCAGATTTTTGTTCTTTCACAAGTCGAGATCACGTTGAATCCCTTAATACGATGTCGCTAAGAGGCTTCCTTAACTTACTGTCTGCAACATTGGTCAAGTGTCGTGCTATGTTCACTGCACTACCATGTGCGTCTCGCCTTGGAATCAAACTTCTGACATGATCCACAATCATCCTGCAGCGTCTGAAATGCTTCACATGTTCAAATGTCTATTTCGAGGAGCTGAGTAGCGCTGTCAAATGACTCAAAATACCAAACCATCACAAAATGCACAGCGAAGAAACACTACTCATAAGAGGCTGCCGGACCTTTCTAGTCATATTCTTCACGTTCTGATATACAACACTGATATTCAGCGGATGAAGCCTATGAAAAATAGAGGTGTGAATGTCGAGATTCAAGGGCCTACTATTCATCCAATTAATCCGGATCTGAACCTGCCCACAAAATACTCTAATTGATCACACACCTCGACCCCTTAAGAGGTTTCTTCTACTGCACACCTAATCCTTGTGCTGAAAAGCACAAACGAACAGTCTGTAGCCCAAAGGGAGGATCACATTGCGCCGTTTTCCTGATGCACATGCTGACATGAACTTATAGCCATTGTGCACAGCAATATCGCTATTCTGCGCATAAGGTACAAGGGTGTGCGAAAAATCAAGCACACTCTTGAAGGACCTCAGAATAGTCCACGTCCACTTCGGTTGCCAGATGAATGACAGCTGCCATTAATTCACAGCACCATTCTGCCCAGACAGTATATCGGTTAAAAGTGTACACCGCGTCCCTTCGCAATCGTTTCTACTCCATTTCAAGAAGATCATCGCTGAAGGTTTGAAATCGTAAACCAGGGCCTAGATGGCCGGTTGCAGTTGGACACAACCAGCAACTTACACTCGGTCCCAAAGCCTGCACAAATTCAACAGCCAAAAGATAAATGCTATTGCTTTAAACAGCACAACAACAAACAAATGCCTTTCCTAGCAGGACATATCGGTGTCTTGAATTAATTTATCGTCACGAACTGAGCAGCAACGAAAATGATTCGAGTCAGTCTCGTCAAACAGCAACTGCAGCAAACGACCATCCGACTCACGAGACACAAGTCCACCGCTGAGGCAAGTACGTAACTGATGTGAATCAGGTAATGCCACAGAACATAAATAAACCCACCTAGCGTCATTAGAAGGACTAATTCTGAAATGACCTGGGCAAGGTTAAGAAAGGTCACACGATTGATGCACCGACCTGACAGAACGCACACCCCTCAGTACAACCAAACAACCCAACAAGACAACCGCCTACACTCTAACACACCACAAATCAAGCCAGCAGGAAGCAGAGAAGAGGGCGGAATAAAAAACTTACAGTAACTAAATTGGTGAAAATGCCAACATCGTATGGATGGCGATAATCCTGTCCTGCCTTTTCTGCAAGCCACTTCGCCCGTACGCCTTCGTGATACTGCCGACCACCACACAGGATCTCAGTTCTCTACAATTGGGTGTTCTCTAACCACAACCAACACTACAATCACATGAAAATCACCGAATACATTAACTTCGCGAACAACTCCATAAAACCTACAGCAAGTCAACAACCCTCGTTTCATATCCATCACGTCACAACGATCATAATTATGTGAGTAGGCTATCAAACCCTCAACTTATAAAAAAAACATCTTGAATCACTCTTTAACCAAAGCTTTACAAATTCAACCTCAATGGTAGTCTTATTGTGCAACAGTAGAAGGAAGTGCCAGGTCATCAACACGCCCACCGCAATCAATACAGGAACTAGAACCACCGCGCAGATTGCCTGCACACATGATTCCACCGTCTCAACTAAAAATTCGACTAGCAATTGTCATATCAAGTCAAAATTACACTTGTCTCGCCATCCACCAAAATGAGCATCCTGTCCTCCGATACAAAACTCGAAATCCAGTGTAGATAAAAAATTCTCTTGGTCATTAATCAAGGAGTATCAAACTCATGACATGCACATAAAATGGAAAAGATTCTGGAAGAAATGGGCACCATACCCAAAAAAAAAAAAAAAAAAAAAAAAAAATCCATGGACATACCCTTGTTAGAGCTGAAGATGCAGCAGTCTCGCTTAACACCTTCGCACCCATGCCCTCTGGAACTTTATCTCCTAAAGTTTGAATGAAGTGAGTCCCTAACAGGATCTTCAACACAGAAAGACAAGAACAACTTCCCCCTTCAGCAGAGTTACATAACGTGTTCACACAATGAGGTTCATAAAACCATCAAGTACCTAAATGAGATTGTATGACCAAGTGCCAGTGGTACAAGATCAGGCAGAAGCTCACCATGGATTGTAAGCTTGCACCTACTACATACAGGACGAAGAGAAAGAAGGCCTTATAGTTGTTGTGGCCTACACAGTTATTGATCCATACACAATGGTGATCCTGCCAAAACTCCACATGAAGTGGTTATTTACAGACGTGGGAAGGGTTAGCTTTTAGAACACTGCATCCTGAAAACACGAGACCCGCCTTAAGTATGGCATGACACAGAGTCAAGGTCGAAAAGTAGGAATATGAAAAATGGATAGTACTCTGGTTGCTTACAGAAGAGGTATCAATGCTCGTGTGCACTATATTGGCAAAATCATACAAAACAATTATTGCCAATTCCACGACGAAGATTCGGACGAGATGATGCAGAATGCAGTCTATAAGATTAACATAATTTGAGAATAGCGATCATGACACTGAATTTTAAATTAAGAAGGATCGCTCACGTACTAAATAACGTCTCCAGTCCCCAAGCAATATTCAAAGAATGACTGAAACCAGTAATGACGTTGTGGGCAGAGTTATTACCATACGAAGTACGCATCGTTTGCAAACACGGCAATGGTGGGCTCGAGGTGGCTTGTATTGCTCGCATTTTTGACAATATCTATCTCCACCCTGCAAACACTTTCATAGAAGCACATTAGCCACCGAGCTGAATGCTAACTCTTCCTTAAGGGCACTCATCTTTGCTCAGTTACCATTACTATATAAAAAGTAAAAGGTAAAAAAACAGTATGTTTACGTGCTGATACTGTCACCTACAATAATATTTATTTCAGATGCTTGATGGATAGATGAATACTGATCCTCATTAATACTACCTAGGTTCCAAAGTTGCCCATCTTGATCACTATTAATTAATAAATGATGATGGTTATTACTTCAAACCATATTCACCTGTTTACAATGCACTCGTACTCCTCCCCTGGCATTTTCTAATCGTCCGCTTTTGACAATAAATGCAAAATATACTACACAAAACTCGATCTTCATAAACCACATCAAGTACTTTGAGTTGGACAACACGAAGGTTACTAAGAACTAAAAGCGAAGAGTCTGTCCAATCTCAGAAGTTCTTATAGAGATGTAAAGGGTTTTATCTGTGAATAAAGTAAAGAAAGGCACCGATAGGACCTTGCGCTTGACTTCATGAAGAGCAACTCCGTCTTCCTCCAAATCAGGTAGGTAGGATGATGGAATGTACCCCGGGTCGCGAACCACTGCTAATGTGTACGATAGCAAAGCCATGGTGCACAACACAGTCAAGAGTGCTACATTTGCAAACCCTGATGCTGTATTGATATTTAACCAAGGATGAATGACGAGCACAACTACTGTATGGTACACAAAACCTATAATAAGCAGAACAACCACCACGGGTAACGAAACGAATCTCCAGAATCCCGTAGCGGGGCGCCCCATAGCTCCAAACTTTGACCACGCTTTCGGCCTCGTAGTGTTGAGTTAGGCGAAATCAGTATTCACATGAAAACAACTTTTCATTGTCTTTTCAGAGCTTCAGCGACTTTGCTACAGCAAAGGAATTGTGCTATCTCCAGTACATATAAGCTGGCAACAAATCCTCATCAAGTATACAAGAAGCTAAGATGTTTCTTGTAGGTAGTGATAAGATGAAATGGACCGAACTCATATTTGAGCAACTAACAACCATGAAAATGCACTTGAAGAGTTATCAGAGTTATTTTGTCCCCAAAGAACAAAATATCAATCCCTCAAAATCCGATGGTGACTAAAAGGCTTCCGAAACATGTATCAAGTGTGATGGCATTCACATTTGTACTGCAGTTGGCATTGGTATGTCTTGTTGATGTGGTGGAGATCGGCTGCACAGACAAGCCAAAAAAGTTAATTAAAATGAACCAATTCAATCGGTGAGAGAGTCTTCATAAATCAGAAAATTGTTTTCCTTCAAAGGCATGCTCATAAATCTGTAATTGCAATTATAATCAACTTTGTGGAAAATGTATTGACCCTTAAATGTGGAGGAGCTCTACGAACGTATTGAAATAGTGAACTCTTAGGTCAACTCTAACGTTCATCAATTAACTGTGCATCCTGTTAAAGGCGAAAACCAAAGGCAGTAATCTCGCCGAAGGCAGTTACCGTCAGAGCAGCGATTGGACAGTGAACACACTTCAGCTTGAAATTTAAAAAGCCACGCTCATGGAGCACGCAACAATCGCAACTACGCATGTATTCCAAGAGAGGCCATGTATCTCTGGTCTCTATCCCTAGAAATCACACGAGAAACCTCATGTCACCCATCTGCAACGATTGCACGCAACTTCGTAGATCATCAACAATCCCTTACTCCAGCTATCAGCAATCCCGTCTAATTACAATGTATCACATTCTGATACATGCGTCAAACTTTGATCGCCTCATTGACACCCAGACAACAAAAGATAGCCTCCGAGAAATACTCTCAAAGATTGTAAAACTCTGACAAATGAAGCCAGATACACAGCTGTCAACTAATTTCACTCGAGAGTTCAAGACTAAAGCGAACTCCACACACCCGGCTCCAACCAACTCATCTCAAATCTTCGTAGGCCCCTTAAAATATACTGGCACTAAGGCCACACTCAAGGGCCCCGGAATCGAAACTCACCTCGCGACCACGAGCTCTTCTACGAAACCACCCCAACTCTCACCATCGGGCACAAAACCCTACAAACCCTACAGAATCTAGGCTTCAAATCCACACCGTGAACTACAGCGAAGCGTGCTCCCCCAACGCAACACGATAATCTCACTGTAGGACGAGAACCGTGAGGATTCAAAGCAAGAAAAACAGAGGAAGAGTGGTAATCGAGGCGACAAGGAGGAAGAGGAGGAAGGAAGGGCCTCTGCGACGCAGGACGACGACGACAATAGCGAAAAAGCTTCAAGAGGGAAAAAAAGAAGCTCCGATTCAGCTCAACTCAGCTGGCCAACAGGGAGAAAAAAAACACAACCGTCTCGTAGCTCCAGGGCTCGATTCATGTCCTTATCCACGTCCCTATCCACGTGGATGGCGGTGTTCACATTCAACTCTATTCCCGTGGCCTGGCCGCACCAACTGGAGCCGACTCTTGGCCGCCAGTTCCTTGATTAGGGCATTAATGTGCGGTTTAGAGCACAACCAACACGTGAATTTAGTGCCACCCTTCTACACACACACATGGAATAATATAGTAGACTTGGAAAAGCTTGACAAGATGCAGCACATAGTAATAATGGTAATAATAGTACCAGAAGTCGCATTATTGATGCATTATGAAAAGGAACGCAATGTAAAAATAAAAATTGATTTTTACAGTTATGTGAGATCCCATAATGTGGTGTGGTTTTTAACTATGTGGATACAGTATAAGTGTATGCATTCATGCACACTTGAAACATTCACTATTCTTTTCTCCTTTTTATTTATTATTTGATTTTTTTCTCATCCTGATGTGTACCATCATATGAACACAGAATGATCAAAAGAATAGAAATATGAAACATGAAAGAAATAACATTTGAGTTGCAGTCATGAAAACACAAGAATGGAGAACATAACTCATGGCTGTAGAGGCTACATCCAATTGGCTTCATTGAGAATATCACAAAGTTTATAAATATTTTGACCCCACTTTTGTTTTTTCTTCTTCTGAATAATATGATACCACAAAAATTTCATAGTAAATTTATTGGCCTTTGGAATTGAAGTGAGTGTCAACCATGTTAACCAATGTCAATGCTTATTTATTTATGTTTTTATTATTTATTTATTTATTTATTTATTTATATTACAATTGTGTAAAACTTACAATATTTCTTCATTCTATGCAGTTTGGCATAGCCATGTTAGTAGATTGTATTTCAATTATTCGTACAAATTTATTTACTTATTTATTATATATATGTGTATGTTTTTTGTAGCTTTATATTACTATATTGTATTCATTTGCATGATTAAATTAGTTTGGAGATTAAAATGATGTTTTTATCAAAGTGGCATTTTTTTAATATAACGACTCATTTATTTTATTTTAAATTCATACTTGTAACAATTCAGGATAAAAATAATCCCTAAAAGAGATTAAAAAGCTTATTTTTATTCGCTTGGAAACTACATGCACTTTGAATAAATCTTGTATAAGACTAAATTTGAAATTTCATGCACTTTATGCAAGGTTTTTGAGTAATTAAATAAAATTATCGAAAATTTAAAAAGAATTAGACATTTTTCTAGACAAAAAATAAGATGGTAGTCCAAGATTAGATTTGATATATTTGTTTTTTGTAGTTATTGTTGTGTTTTATTTGTAGTGAGTTGTAGAAGATAAAACAAAATAAAACAATTAGAGTGGCATCTTTTTGTCTGCACAAATCACTTAACATTTATGAATTCCTAAAGATTTAATACTATTTATTTTGTTTTGTATTAAATTATATATATATATATATATATATATATATATATCTATATATATATTTATATTCTAAAACTTTAACAACAACAAAATTAACTAAAAAAAATGATTTGAGTTTGCAAACTCTACATCAAGTATCTCAAATGAGATAATTAGTACAAATATAGAAAATTTACCTACAATCTCAAATTTATCAAAAATCTATTTTATTCTTTTAAATTTAGAACTACACACACCCACGTATACATACATATATATATATATATATATATATATATTAGACACCAAAACACAAATCATCTATATGTGCATTGATTGAATAAACACTTTATTGGATACATCAGTTTAAGTTAATATAATTAAAACAAAATACTAAATTATTCTCCTGTCATAACCACAAGTAACTAAAAGTAATTCTATGTGTAAAAATATAATATATTATTTTATGCATAATATAATATGTTCTAAAAATATTTTCTGGTTTTTTTCTTTTTTAAAATAGAATATATAAATTTAAAATCCATTCATTAAATATTCGTATTATTTAAAGTTAAAAAGTGAATAATAAAATATAATATTTTATTATTATTTATATAATCTAATAAGTTGTATTTTCGTATGTATTTGTTAGCTCACTTCCACTTCTGAAGTTGATTTTGTAACATTTTTTTAAATTTTTTAAAATTTGTTTTTGAAGTCTAATGAATCAAGAGCCTTTAAGAACAGAATTTTTAAAATTAAAAGGTTTAATTTTATTTATTTATTTAAATAGATCTAGAATTAATTAGAAAAAAATAAAAAAATCAGGAAATATTTTATTGAATTACTAATAAAACATTTAATAAACATCTATAAGAATTTTTATACCATAAATTATTTCTCACCTAAAGAATTTTTTTTACTTGCAATAGCATTTAAACAAGATGGGATTGTATACAAGTTTGAAAAACATACAACCTCAGCTTGTATAATTTTTTTTTAAAAAATCAAATATAACGGTTTTAATTTTTTATTATTTATAGAATCTAATAAGTTTATTTTTAGATGAAAGCCATATTTCAAAAACTTTAATTTCCTTTAAATATTTTAAAAATTTTAAAATTAAAATTTAATAATAATAATAATAATAATAATAATATATAATTTTTATGGATATTTAAGTAAAAAAATTGACTTCAAGAAATTAATCAATCAAAAAATAACTTAAATTAATATCCTAAGAATTAATTTATCAAATATTATTTTAATTTTTTTGAAAAATATCTTTTATATAAAACTTTTTTTTTTCAACAAAACATGAATTATTTGTTATTTTATTTATTTTATATTGGCATTTATAACAAAAGCTTATTATAAATATTATTTATAAAATAATCTTCATATCCTATAATGTAGTATTATTTAAAAATATCATAATACATGTGAATTCTAGTATTATTATTCATAATTTTTTAAAGCATGTTAATTTTATTATACATAATGAATTACTACAATAAGAAAGAGAAATTCCAAAGAAACAAAATCAAAGGGAGACAAAAAAATCAAAGAGAGACAATACCAAATTATATGTTAGAGTCCAAGACTTTGTTGGTGAAGCATTAATAATGGACTTTGATAAAACTTCTTCTGTAACAACCACTCGACCAATTTAGATTAAATTAGTACAAATATGAAGATCACAACATTCTTGTCAATTCTTTAAAAGATTATGAAGGCATGATCTATTTGATTTTGTAGTCTTCTTTCATACTTTTGATGCGTTTATTATAGAAATATGAGATAATATTAGTGACAACATTGTCAAATAAACAAAGATTATTAGACGAAATACATTGAGTGGTAGAAATCAATTACAAAGTATGTAATTTAAACCAAATATAAATTTACATCCAATACATTGTCAAGTTCCCCTCCTAGTTGATTAGGTGCCCCTTCAATTAGCTAGGATCACAAAACACACATTGTTGAAGATGAACGTTACAATGATATTACTGCTAAACTACACTTGTTCAAATTAATGATATAGCAACTAGACCACCGAAGTGTGTGACAAATACAATAGAAGAAATCTTCAACCCTTATCAATAGATGAAGTATGACTAGAAGATTTCTTACGACAAAGACAAATCCAATCTCTTGAAGGGAGAGTCAAAAGAAGTGGTGTCAAACATGCCATATGCCACCCACATTAGGATTGATTATACAAAATCATGGTAATATCTCCTTTCTTCTTACTACATTTAAAATAAGATAGTCCAATTGACACAATTGCCAATTCAAGATGTACAAAATCATCAATAGGAAGATGACAAGGAATACAATTCTTTGATTGCTTCCAATATCCTTGCCCATGCTTGCCTTCTAACAACAAAATACCACTAGGCAACACATCTTTTATATGTAGAATTGTATACTTTGCCTTAATATCAAGAATTTTAGGCACCTCACATTACAAATACATATAATTTCTTTTGAAGAATTTTTGCAATTGAGGTTGATAAATTCCACTATAAATATAAATATATTATAAAAATATTGTGATATTAAACAATAGATAAGTTTTTCATATCCATATACATGGTTTGTTTGAATAACTTTGCTAGGTTATATAGATATTGAGTCTAAACTTTATAATCATATAGGTCTATAACTAGAATTAGTTTCTTACATATTGAGTTGAATAGAATTGACTTTCATCCATACAACAATCGATAAGGACTATAAGATATCAAAGATGGTTATTATTGAAATGATAATTCATTACAATCTACGGCAACATCAAGTCTCAATCACAATGGTTGCCATGAAATAATATATAATTCCATAAACCATGTTTGATAGTTTGAACAACTTGTTCAACTAGGCCATATGCCTCAACATGATTTCTAGCTGTGATACAATGATCTATCAAAGCTTTAGTACATAAAGCTTTAAAAATCTTAAGAAACTCCCTTCCTTGATCTTTAAGACTTTAGCATGTCCTCCAAAATGTGCCAATATTTGATTAAAAAATTCATAGCTATCAATTTTGAAGAATTTTGTGGTAAAGCCATAAGTTCAATCTACTTATTAAAATGGTCTACCATCACCAACATGTATTTAGTTCTATATAAAGTCACAAAAAGTGGTCCAATAAAGTCCAAAGACCAATAATAATACAAATCCATGATAGGTAATGACTTCAAGTAAAGTAATAAGGTATTAAAACTTGATCTAATTTGATTAAATACTTCACATTGAAAAACATATGTGGCTATTTGTTAATATATACCACTCCATCAATATTGATTGAACAACATAAAATATGTCGTGTATACTTTAAAATGTCCAAGTTCTTCATATACTTATCATATTAAGCAGGCTCTTTGATTTGGCCTTAGAACTATGCACCTAGTTCTATTAGGCCATATACAAAATAACAAATTATTCTTTCTATAAAATCTTATTATTTAGTGATCAATCATACTTCTTTCTATGTTAAAAATAACTCAAAAAAATATTCCTTATTGAAGCTTTTGTAAGACTACAAGA